ATGATCCTAGATATCCATCTTACAAAGATCCACAACAAAAAGAAAATATTTGGGGAGAAGCTGCACATACGCTGGATGCTGATGGGGATTTTTTTTATATGTCATATTAAATAAGACTTTGGTCTGGATTATTTCCACTAATTCTACTCTAGCATGCCTCCCATCTGGCATCATTCTGTTGCAAACTCAGGTAACCCTCAGAATGAACAGCAGCGCCCTCTGGTGGGCGGCTGCAATATTACTCACTGAGAAACAGAAAAATCCCTTTGAAAAGCAGAAGAATGGAAATGAGCACACAGTCCTCAGTAAGTCACTAAAACATGAAAATGTGTGAGGACCCGCAATAAATGAGGATAAATACATGAAACTATGGCTACTGGTCTTACTGGAACTGAACTGGTACTTACTGAACCCAGTCCTCGGTGCAGACACACTGAAGGACCTCAGCTGGCCTGCAGCCAAAGTGCCTGCAGATAAATAAAAAATAAAGTTAATAAAAAGCCATTTCTGTATTTGATTCATTCTAAAACTAATAACTCTAACAAAATGAAATGTTGTGAAACTCCTACCTGTCCTGGAGACGGAGTAAAGATACCGAAAGCTCGCAGCCATCAGGACGTTAGAGCTGGAATCAGAAACACAGAATAAAGACATCTGTTATAGTCTCTGAGCCCAGAGGAATTCATTACATCATACAGTCGGACATTTTTCCTCTTCTGATCTGATTCAGAGCTGAATCCGGATCTCTGTAGATGCTGATCCCAGTCATCTGTCTGCTTTTATGATCTGCTGATTTTTTTAACTTTCCTCTGAAGGCAGGAATGAAACGTATGAAGCTACATTTATCTATCTGAGGAAAAGCATGCTGAAAATCTACTAAAACTCAAGAAGTCACCACAGCATGACGTCTCTGACAGAGCAAAGCATAGAGATAGGCTGATTAGATCTGCTCTTATGGATCGGCTTCATTGTCAGCAATAATAGATCTAGAAAGTTCTTCTATATCAGGATTAGGGCTAAAAACAATCAATTAGTTTATTCCATTATGGAAATAATCATCAACCAATTTAGCAATCGATTAATCATTAACTGGATTATAGAGACTCTAAAACCTTTAGGTGATAGATTGACCCACTAAGAGCAGCAATTATACCTAGATTTTAAAAATATGTAAATATATTGCATTTTAGATAAAAACAAAAGGTTTCGTCTGACAATCTGCTCCATCCAGAACTCCTCAAGTGGAAGAAACTTTAGTTTCACCTGCTTTAACTAAGGAACCTTTGGTTATCAGATTATTAATCCATTATTCAAATAAATAATCAACAGATTAATTGATTAGCAAAATAATCGTTACTTAGTTCTTTGAGACGATGTGCTGTGAATTGGCGCTATAGAAATAAACTGAATTGAATCTTAGATTTCTAGATTATTTCAAACTACCTAAAGATATTGACCAAATGTAATATATTTGGGTTATTTATTTGATATCTATTTGTAACTTTTTCAAGTAATATAATCTGCGATTCTATCAGAAAACACGCTGCATTTTTAAGAATGGTGAGTTTCTCATGTTAATAAATACGTTTTTTTATGTCTTTCATTATTTGTATTTCTTTTACTCCATTAATAAACATTGTATCGAGTATTACACAGTTTTCTGGCTATTAATACCGGTCTTAATATAATGACAAGCCTAAAAATCCCTGCTCTAATATACAACGGAGTTTTAGCGCCAGGCTAGAGATTTTCTTTTCTTCTATTACGAGAATAAAGTCGTAATATTATGAGAATAAAGTCCTAAAATTACAAGAAACAAGTTGTATTTTATGACAACTCGTACAAGAAGCACTTTGTTCCCTAAAATGAGGAATGTTGAGCATCATGTGAAGTTATACTTTGGCTCTGGTTTGACAAATCAGGAAATCTTTTAGCAGCAGCTTTAAACTGGGCAGGATGTCAAAGTGGACTCAGGCTGCTGATTGGTGGAGCTGGTCGGCCGTCATCTGCTGGGCAGAGCTCCAAGCTTTCTTTCCGAAACGGGTTGTGATAAGATGACTTCATTCTCATAATATTACAACTTTACTCTCGAAATTTTATGACTTTATTCTCAAAATAGAAGAAAAATAAATCTCTAGCCTGCCCCTAATCAAGCCTTTTCTGCTATAGTATGGTGTATTACATGGTGAGCGGATCTGAGTAAAATGTGCAGTACTGGAATTCACCAGAGAGTGGCAGCATGAGCAGGAAAGCAGCCTGTAGCATTCCGCGCAGAAGAAGTCACCTCTAGCTGTTGCTAAACAGACTGATGTCCCAGTGTAACCATTTCAATCAGCCCCCTCATAACTCTGGTAAATAAGGAGCAAATGCTTCTAAAATCACAGGATTTGATGTTGATGAAGAGAGGAATAAACAGAGTTAAAGACTTGCAGGTGAATTCATTTCTCCCCATGTTATGGAGGGGGAATTGTTGTATGTGATAGCATGTTGTATACGAGAAATGTCCTTAATCCAGTAATCTGTCATATTTTACATTAGAACTGGATTAAGCAGAAAGTCTACCCTCAGGGCCCCTGATCTCCTAGAATCCTAGATCCGCCCCTGGTTGAAGCCTTTTTGAATTTTAACATTTTTGGTTAAATCTCTAAATTAAGAAAAACATTAGGGAAGAATTAGGTTTTTAAATGATTAAAACATCTGGTCTGAAACATTAGCAGTCAGCAGGTCTCTGCTATTAACAGATGAAAGATTTGGTTAAATAATTGACCATTAAAGGCTGATTTCACTCCTTTCTGAGGACCAACAAGCAGACCTCTGCTCTCACCGAGCCTCCAGGAGACTCTAATCTGGATAACATCGGACTAAACACTCACAGATCTCAGATTATTTCACCTCTAACATCCGTTTTTCTGTGAATAAACCAACAAATGTCCGCTGCAGTTGCTGCTGCTGTCAAGGACGTCTGAATAAAGGTCGCTGCGATCAAAGCCAGATTAAAAAATAATCCCGAAGCTTCAAACATGAACTAAATGAAAGGTTCACCGCCGCAGAATATAACAGCAGAGGAAAATAAATACTAGAGCGGCTTTTAAAATCTCTAACTTACCGAAATGTGACAACAACCGGTTACAAGAGGGGAGACGGCGAACAGCGGAAGTTACACAACATGACCGCTTCCTCTGCATCGCTGGCTCACATTGGTTTTTATACCGCCACCTGGTGGACGAAGGTAGGAAAGGCAACCGTGCATTAGGACAGAAATACAGTAGTGTTACTGTGGCGCGGGGAGCGGGGTTCAAGTCCCAGCTAGTGCAGCATATTTACAGGTTGCACCCCACTGTTGCCCCTCATAGGGCAATCCATTCTGTTACATTTGGGGGAATGTTGGCCTGCTGGTTAGATGTGCTGAAATCCTCACTGCCTCCACTCTGGCTCTCTGAGAAAGACCCTTAACCAAGGGTGTAACCTTAATGAAAGTTGGTGAGGACACTCAGGTGGAGGCTGATGGATCTACTGTACAGCTACTTAACTTGAACGTTTTTATTAGGTTTTTGTATTTTCCAAAAATGAGCTCAAACATATATTTATTGAATGCTTTCCAATTGTTGAGAACACAAGAGAATGATAATGCACTGATATTTATTTAAAGATAGTTAGAACCTTTTAGTGCATTACATTATTGTGCCCAAAAACATTAACATATAAAAAAAAATTATAATAATAATGAATAGCCAAAATCCAATGCCAAAATTAGTATATCATGCATCCCTAGAAGTACAATTAAAATTTCATCCATAAAAATATTGATATGCTTAATTTTAAATATAACATAGCATATTTTTCCTTTTAAACTTCCTAGTAAATCTGTTTCACCTTTAGATCTGCAGCTCTCCCTACTTCTCTTTGTGCTCTGTTCAAAAAGATTTATGAACCTCTTTATTAATATAAAAATGCCAGAAACTAAATGTCAAGATAGGTAGAAGCAAAATAAGAAAACATTTTAAAGGAAAATAGCTTTTTTTTTTTTACATTGGCCCCTTGATTTTACGTTATTACATCATGTTCTACTCACTCATATGAGTTTTGTGTCATTTGGAGCTGTTCTTAGGTTATAGCGCATAGGCTCAAAGGCAACATTGTATTGTGTGTTTCCTGGATGGGGCCGCCTTTTACAGCTGCTTTTTCTATCTATGCTTCTTTTTCTATGTCTGCTTCTGCCTCCTTGAACCCCAGTCGGCCTCAGCAGATGGCCGCTCACACTGAGTCTAGTTCTGCTGGAGGTTTCTTCCTGTTAAAAGGGAGTTTTTCCTCTCCACTGTCGCTGCAAGCATGCTTGGTGTGAGGGATTGCTGAAGAGTCAATGAGTCGATGCAATCAGCTGGTTTTCCTTAGATAGAAAACTGAATCAATCTGACTGGATGATCTGGTGAACTGTAAAGTGCCTTGAGATGACATGTGTTGTGAATTGGCGCTATAGAAATAAATTGAATTGAATTGTTAGACCAATGTTAGAGCAGGATACATGTAAATATTTCTCCCATGGCCGTGAGGCACAATAAGGAATCTGAAGAAATAAAAGCGTATTTGTGAACTGAATCCCTTAGCATCACAAAGATGGCATCACAAGCAAGGAAATGCAGCTTGTACTGAAGCTTTAGCCAGACTGGTCTCTAGGGGCAACCGCTAACAAATCCCTCTGGTGTCCTGATGACCTGCTGGGACAGCACTATGTTGGGTGTGACGTCATTCCCTGATCACAGATAAGACTCCTGAGATGTTCTCTCTAGCATCATTATAACCTATAGAAACACAGTAATTCTGTCCATTTCAGTAGCGGAGCAGGACACAGCATCCACAGCTTTCACCAAGGTTTGAACGTCGTCTCTTTAGTCGTACCACTAACATGTGAAGGCAGAGATGGCCCTGCCTTTACTGCGTTTAACACCTGCCACACCGCAGTCAGACGTTTGTTCATCCAATCATTAATCACAGAAAGTCACAGGAACAAGCACAGAGCGGACGAGCCTTGTTGTTGCGTCAATGAAACAGAGCGTGTGAAATTTAATTAAAAAGGTTTCTGATGATGCCTTCACCAGAGCTCTCTGAGCAGAATCACTTAGTCAGGGGTGCTGAAGACCGAAGACTCACCAGACAAGTAAGAACGACCGTCTCTGAAAATAAATCTGAAGTTTGTAGACCTGTTATTTATTTATTTACAGGATGATTAGTCATCTTAATATTCCCTGTTCACCAGCATGTTGTTTGCTTCATGTAATCTGTCAGTGTGAATGAATCTCTAATCAGCAGCAGCAGATATGATGAAGCTGAGAGTGGAGTAGTTTGTTCCAAAGTTGTTGGTTTTTTTCAGTGAGTGAGGGCTTCAATGGGACAGAGCTTTCTGAAAAGCTGTGGACTGAGGAGGAGAAGTGGCTGCTGGTGGCTGTGCTGGGCATAGAGATGCTGGTTGGAGTCGTGGGAAACAGTCTGGTCCTGATCGTCAAAGTCATGGTAAGGTGGTCAGATTGCTGGGAATGCTGGTTTCAGGTTTGAGTGCATGCATCCATAGTCCTGAGCTAACTGCCTGTCACCCAGAACTTTCTGGATCTTGAGCATAATTAATGAAAAATGGACTATCCTGTGTCTGTAAAAACCAAGATGAAGAGCAGCAGAAAGCCACTCTGCTGGGAAATTAAATGAACACATTTTCACCACCATCCTCTTTTTTTAGTTTCTTTATAAAAATTGTCTTTTCATAAACA